GACAGATTACTGAGGACTGTGCATCGACCTGTGAAGGCGGTGACTGGTGGAGCTGAGGGTAACCAGGGTCCAGAGAAGAGGTCCGATGCGGAGGGAAACCAGAGATGGCGGGGCAGGACAGGAACGCAGAAAAAAACTGAGAATAAACAACAGCGGTAACATACATGGGGAGGCCTGAAGACAAAGAAAGAACTAGCAGGGGAGTGATCGGTGAGCAGCGTATAAATAAGGAGGGAGACTGACGAGGCACAGCTGGTGAGAATCAGTGAATAGAGGCAGGTGTGTCTAATCGTGTAATCAGTGCAAGGGAGCTGGCTAGTGCGAGGAAAAGAAGAGAGGAAGGTGCCACCGAGCAAACCTGACAGTGAACTTGTCCATAGGGAGCACGACTTTTGTCACAACCCCACTTTATTTTCATGAACAAATACCAGGTGTTCTTCATGCATAGATTAACAGGTTAATGTATAACTTTGTTGACAGTTTCACATGATGCCAGATCTGTTGGGGCCTCAAAAGACTTGTAGGAATTGCTGTCATGGCAACATCTGTAATTTCAAATCTGCTCTGGAGCAGGTTAGTTCTCAGGCTTATTCAATGTAAACAAGATAACCTCAAAGATTCAGAGGGGCTCAGAGCATGAAGTGACCTACTGACATCGGAGTGAGATATGAGATAGACGATTAAAGAAAGCAGATCCTCCGGCCCATCCCAACCCGTTTTTAATCAGATGGTAGTGTTTCAGTCAGGAGGGAATAATTTATTGCAGAAGAGTGTTAGCTCCTCATACTAGGGGCTGCCAAAGAGGAGCTGTGCTCACACAGTCATGCTTAATTTAGACTACGAGTAGGCATCGATGCATATCAACATGGCGAAGAGGTTTATGGGTAAACATAGGTTGCAGACAGTCCAACGTGCACACCCCCAAATCTCAACTACATGTTGTGCGGCACTGCGTATGCTGCACGCTGATTGGTTGATCAGACTCCCTGCTGTGAGGCAGGAATAGGTGGAATGCACATTCAAATGGCAAAATGTAACAAAGCTCTATGGACTCGACACTGAATATGGAGTATATCAGGTCATCCACACCAAACCCTCCAGTCCAGTCCAGCGCCTCAAGTGTCTTCCCACCACACAGCAATTATGATGATGATGATGATGATGATGATGATGATGATGATGATGATGATGATGATGATCTCTTTGAACTCCTCCCCTCTGGACGGCATTACAGGTCAGTGTGCACCAAGACAACCAGGCACAGGGACAGTTTCTTCCCCCAGGCCGTCACTCTGATGAACACTTGACCCACAATAGTATAACTGGACAATAACCCTTAGCAAAATACCCGTAAATGTACATTATACAGACTATTCAGATCCATACAGGTCTCTATTTTTTAAGTACTCTATAAGAATTCACAGTGAGCATTCCTTGTCTGTCTGCATTGTTTACTGCCTGTTTATACTGCTTATTTTGCTATATTACACAGCCTTATGCCAATTACTGTTTATTTGCCCCTTGCATGGGGATATGTACATGCACATTGAGAGCCGATGTACCAGAGTCAAATTCCTTGTGTGTCTGACACACCTGGCCAATAAAGCCCATTCTGATAGATTCTTATGATGAGGGTCAATCCAGCGTGTCCACTGTGTCATCCATAAAGGTACCTGTCCCTCAGTCAGGAAAGAGGGGGAAGAAGATGAGAGGGTTCAAGATACTGGACACTACTGTCACTCTATACCAGGAGCAGCTTCCAACCTACACTCTCCAGCCACTTTGCTAGCTACACCTGTACAACTGTATGCAATTCAATGCAACACTTCTGCCTTAACATCTGTGTTTATGAAGCCCAATATTTAAGTGAAACTGTCATAAATGCATGGATGATGTTGTCCTTGTTGCCTCCCACAAAAGACAACATCATCCTGAAGGTCGCGAACAACACCGCAGTGATAGGTCGCATCACTGGCGGGGACGAAGCAGCCTACAGGAGGGAGGTGCCCAGTCTGGTGTCATGGTGCAAGGACAATAATCTCAGCCTCAACACGGACAAGACGAGGGAGATGATAGTGAACATGAGGAAGGAGAGGAGATCTCATCAGCCACTGTTCATCCGGGGGCTCAAAGTGGAGAGGGTGAGCAGCTTCAAATACCTGAACGTCTATATCAGTGAGGACCTCACCTGGACACACAACACCACACAGCTGGTCAAGAAGGCCCAACGGTGGCTGTACTTCCTGAGGAGGCTGAGGAGGTTTGGCATGTCGCCTAGGATCCTCAACAACTTCTACAGCTGCATCATTGAGAGCATCTTGACCAGCTGCATCACTGTCTGGTATGGCAGCACTACTGCTATGGACCGCAAGCGCCTGCAGAGAGTGTTAAAGACTGTGGAGAAGATCACCAGGACTCCACTGCCCTCCCTGCAGAGCATTTATCACTGCAGGGTGCATAGGAAAGCTGCCTCCATCCTCAAGGACCCCACCCACCCCCAGCATGGACTGTTCATACCCCTACTCTCCGATTGGAGGCTCGACTGCAACAGAGACTCAGACTCTTAAACAGCTGCAGATGCATAATTGCACACTCACTGCTGAATATTTACACTTCATGGCTCCCACATAGCATACAGTATATTCTTTCTACATCATATTGTGTTCTTGTTGTATTTTTATTGTGCTTCCTTCACTTGCTGCTTTAAAGTGCCTTAGATTTGTGTTACTGCCTATTTAGATTTGTGTTATTGCTCATCTACTTTATATTTCATTTGTACTGTGTGGCATTCATGTGGACGGCAAAGTAAGAATTTCATTCTACAGGGAAACACGTTTCCTAACTGTGCATATGACAAATAAACACTTTGAAGAATAAATGTATAAATTCAATTACAGATGCAGCCACCCAGATTGGCTCTTCTCAGCTGCATGTCTTTCAGCTGGCGTGCAGTTCCCAGCAGCCTTCCAGGAGCCCCCCTTTTACTGTTACCCGATAAAGCGTGTCTGGATTCCACAGTATGCCCACCCATTAAAAAGCTATTCCTTGATTTGCAGTGTCAACATTAGATAGCACTTTGTTCTCAAAAAACACATTCACACACAAACCAGTATAACTGCCTGAAGTACTGTGTTCACACTGCAGTCATGTTTTTGTTTAGGCCATGGTTTATACAATAGAATTGTCTGACCATAATCCTCATCATACAGGTACAGCACCAGATAAATAATTATTAACTGTTACACTGGGTTTCACCTTTCTAGTCAAAGATCTATTAAACATGTTAACATGCTTCAGTTATGTTAAGAAATAAATAGTAAAGTCTGTTAGAATGAAGAAGAAAACGTCTTTATGAACATTCATTTGAAATCTGATATATCACACAGCTGCTGTCATAACCCAGCAGTTATGTGGACTTTGTAAAACCATACTCTCAATACAGCTTCACTAAAACACAAAGGGCAGAACGAGGATTTAACGGCCAGCTATCACTGTCTTAACATACAGATTACTAGTTTATAGCCTACTTGTTCAGTTGCTCTGTCTCTGAAAATGTTCCTATGCAACTAAAGTGCAAATACAGATACATCTTGTAAGGAACATATTTGACTGTTGGATTGTATTCTAATGTAACAGAATTTTTGAATGAATGACACGCTGCATTTTCCTACTGACAGATGGAACAAGAAGCAAGGGTGGCAAAGGCATGACAAGGCATAGTCTATATTTAGTTTTATATAGGGAAATTTTGTGAAGTAGTACTAAATTATATAAATGCATTTCACGTCTGTGTTCACATTTCACTGAGTTATAACTGATATGAAGGATGAATTTTGCTGGTAAATCAGGTGCTGAAGTTTCACTTACAACTCACTGAAGAACAATCTGTTAGTCTAAGAAGTTGTTGCATGAGGCTCAGTGAGTCACCGACAACTGCACATTTGTTCTGGCCAGTTGTGCTCTGTTTTCTTACTTGAGAGTGGCAACCCCTTCAGGTGTAGTTGGTTTGTTGAAGCGTCTCATGTACTCGTACATCTCTGGAAAGCTCTTTTTCATGTAATCTTCAGCACTGCTTTCTCTCACTGTTCCAAAACGAAAACCACGGGACGGATGGTGCAGCTGACATACCAACAAAGAAGAAGAAGAGAGGAGGACTTTAACAAACTTTTCAGTAAACATCATGTACATCTGCTGCAGACAACATCAGAACAAATCCTGGCTGAAGTTGATGATTTTGGTCTAGCCCTGTGGCTGTGCCAGTAAGAGGCATCCTTGTGGAGGACTGATGTGGAAGCTGCTGCAGCTTTGGTCTCGCTGTGACAAATCCAGGACAGTGGTGAGTATTGTATTTCCATCCTCTGTGGTATTCCTAATAAACTCCTTCATCGGCTTTAAACCACATAAAACTCTGCTGCAAGAATCATCCCCTGTACCAAGTCTACTAACCATGCTACACCCTTTCTCATACAGCTGCACTGGCTCCCTCTATACCAATGGATTCACTATAAGATTCTCCTCCTTACCTTCAAAGCCCTTCGTAATCTGGCCCCCATACCTCTCTGACATTCTCCATCTTTACATTCCTCCCCGCTCCTTAAGATTTTTCTTTGCCGCTCTTCTGGCTGTCCCTGGTTTTAGACTCAGCACCATTGGTGCCAGAGTCTTCAACTTCTCTGCACCAAGACTTTGGAATTCATTGCCTCTACATCTTTGCCAGCTGGACTCTGCTGTACAGTTCAAATCACACCTGTTTAAATTAGCATATTCATCTTGAAACAATTATAAGCATGCATTTTAACCTTTTCTTTTGTATTGCTGTATTTTAATTGCTGTTTGTTCTGCAATGTGTCCTTGGGTGTTTAAAAGGCACC